TCCCATTCTAAAATTTCCATGGGGCTATTCTTTATATTTTCTATTGCTTCTCTGAGACTTTTTAACTTTCCATTTGAATAGCTGCTTTATGGTCTTGATAATTCCAACATGTGTGGCAACTTATATACTGCATCTGTTACTTTTTCTCCAATGTGACTTGAGATTTTCCTGGTTCTTCACATGCCAATTAATTTTGGATTGTATCCTGGACATTTTGAATGTTATTAGGACGCTGTGGGTCTTGGTTAAATTTGGTGGAGGATGTTGATAGTTATGTTTTAACAGGTAATTAACCCACTTGGGTTCAAGTTGTAAGTTTTGACCAGCCTTCTGAGGGTTGTTTTCAAAGCCTTTGTAGTACTCTTCTGACAGGCCCCACATGGGTGCAACCTCAAGGGTAACCCAGGGTCCCTGGGGTTTTGGGTATGCAATGTGAAAAAGTTACCCACTTGTAACTGTTATATCTTGAATTTTTGTTTTGAAAAGTTCCAGGAAGAAGCTCAGCCCAGGAGAAACAAAAACCAGTTGGACCCACAGACGCCTGAGTTGGAGATGAACTTTGGCCAACCTTCCTCATCACCATACTAAAAATCCAGCCCAAGGAGAAGCTTATTCACCATTTTCTATACATGTGACATATGTAGAAGCATGATTGACAACTGGGACTGTGCTGCCTTGACTCCACTTCTACATACAATGACTCAGCTAACTAGCCTAATAAAAGCCATGTTTGCACCACTGCTCAGGGAGGCACTGCTTTGGGGTATGATTTTCAGTATCCTTCTTACTTGTTGCAAGTAATAAAATCCCCTTGAGAAATCCTCCTTGGTTGTGGCCATTGGACTGTCACCTGCCAAGCAATTTAACTTACTCATTGTGTGGGTAACAAAAGGCCAGTCTGGGACATGAGAACTGGACCCATAGTTTCCATGGGCAGTGTAGGGAAGGAGTACTTGGTGGTATGGTAGGTTTTCTGACAGAAACAAAGGATGGAGGTAAAATTTCTCTCTGAGAATACTGACTGTACCATTGACCATAACATGAAGCCAAGGGTATATCTTTCTGAAGTAAGCAATATAATAAAGGAAACTTCCAGAAATAATAGATCAACTGAAGATGTTAGGCAGTGTACCGGGTATCAATACAATAAGCTTAGTTTTTTTAAAAAAAAATTTTATCCTGAACTCCTTGGATTGGTTTGGTGTCTCACAAATTTTGGAAATTCTCAGCCATTATTTCTGGATTTGATATTGATATTTTCCCACCAGTCTTGGGTGCTCTGTTCTGTTTCTGCCACTCTTTTTTTATTTTTATAAATAGTAGACACTTCACCTGGACACTCTTTTTTTTTTTTCCTTTGTGATTCAGTAATTTCTATTTACCTACCTTCAAGTTTGATTCTTTTTCCCTCAACTGTGTTGAGTCTACTAATGGGCCCACAGAAGGCATTTTTCATCTCATTATTATTATTATTATTTGAGATGGAGTTTTGCTCTTGTTACCCAGGCTGGAGTGCAATGGCGCGATCTCGACTCACCGCAACCTCCGCCTCCTGGGTTCAGGCAATTCTCCTGCCTCAGCCTCCTGAGTAGCTGGGATTACAGGCATGCGCCACCATGCCCAGCTAATTTTTTGTATTTTTAGTAGAGATGGGGTTTCACCATGTTGACCAGGATGGTCTCGATCTTTTGACCTCGTGATCCACCCGCCTCGGCCTCCCAAAGTGCTGGGATTACAGGCGTGAGCCACCATGCCCGGCCCTATTTTGTTTTATTTTTATAGTTTCCATTTTATGCTTCCTTATAGTTAACATCTATTTGCTAAAATCACCCATGTGAGCTTGCATTTTGTTTACCTTTCCCCTTAGGGCCTTCATCACATTAGTCACAGTTATTTAAAATTCTCTGATAGTTCTAAAGTCTGTGTCTTATGAGTCTGGTTCTACTGATTGTTTTCTCTCTTTGGACTGTGTTTTTTCTTGTCTTTATGTATGCATCTTTTTTTTTCTTTCTGTTAAAAGTTGGACATGTGGGGATTTTTGGGTTTTTTTTGCTTAAATTATTTTTTTCAATTCCCTCTTCATAGTATGAAGTATTTTTTATGCTTGGAGATGAGTGTGTCTTTCCCTCTGTAGGACTTTAGTGCCCTTGAGTGCATAGTGCTGGTTCAGTTGTATCAACTAGTCAGAAATTGGGCTAGGTTTACAGTTTGTTGTCGTGGTTATCCTCAGTTCACAACAGACTTCAAATTTCTCTAATGATATCTTATGTGTAGAGTGTGGGCTTTATTTTGAAGGTATGTTTAGAGGTCTGCATGGATGTCAACTCCATACAGAGTGGACAGTGGTAATTTTGAAATATGTCAACTTTGATAAGCTAAATTATGTTTCCCAGAATTTCCTTCCCTTTTGTTTCTGGTTAGCATGGGCCAAAAAAAAAAAAAGACATTGTGTAAGTCTTGAAGGGGAGAACTGAAGCAGTTCTCCAGTTTTATACGTGAAAGGGAAAGGGTGGTACAGGGACACTAGGTGCTACTGCAGCTCATGCACTTTGTCACCAATCAGCTGGTTCTCCTTGTTGGGATGGTGAAGAAGCCTTCCCCTGGGTTGCACATGTTGGGTCATCCTTCAGCTTTTTTGATTCCTGAGCTATGTGTGTGTCTAGTCCTGTGGTGAAGAGTGTCAGCTCCTCTAGCAAGGATACCCATATCTTTAAAGTTGGAGACAGGGAAAGAATGACCATGTCTTAGGTTCCAATTCATTCTTATTCTTCCCTACTTTCTGTTCATCTTCCCTTCTCAACTGCTTGCCCTGTGGACATAAAGAATCATAGTGATTCCACTTCTCTGATTGAACCTTGGCTGGTACACAGACTTACAGACATTTTATGATGGAGAAAATTGTGAATCAGGGAGCCTCAGTAAAGAAGAAAGGTCATCTTTGGTATGGCAGGAATGAAGACATAAGGATTTCAAGGGATTTACCTGAAAAGATTTAATTGATTACTGTAAAGGGAATAAATACTTTGCAGGAATGCTGAAACTTCTCATCCAATACTTAGGTAGACATATAGATGCACATATGCTATAAATACTCAGGGTTAACAGCATTCCCTTCTGCTTGGTCCATATTAATGACTCAGATTACTTCTCCATGGAGTATTCCAATTTGCAAAGAAAATGTATTGATTAGTTGACCAATTTAAATGTTTTGATAATATTCAGTGGAACTTTTATCAATAACCCCAAAACAGATATCTCAAGAACTCCTTTTTCTAATCTCTTAATCATACTACTTACTGAGAAAAATTATTATGGGAAAGGCAGTATTTGATATTGGGACATAAAAACAATGAAAATTTTGTTAAATAAGCAAAAAGCCTGAGGCTGTCTTGGTACTTGAGTTCCTATATAACAAAATACAACCAAACTTAGTATGTAAACAAACTGAAGTCTAACTTTTTTTAAAATAGCAAATAGCTGTGTTTCAGCCAATCACAGCCGACCTTCAGCCAATAACAGACAGCTGATCAGATCAAGCCCCAATAAGGCAAATTCCTCAGCATATCATGGCCAAATAAGGCAGACACCTAGCTGTTGGCCTAGGTGATTTCTCTACTTTGCTTCCAACAAAAGTTCATACTGCTGGTCAGAGCTCTCTGAACCTCTTTTGGTTCTGAGTGCTGCCTCATTCATGAATTGTTCTTGGTGCAAATAACTTCTGTTAAATTTGTTGGTCCAGAGTTTTTAACAATTCTCATTCACAACAAAAGGGAGAAAGTGGGAAGAATAAAAAGGAAAGCACCTCAGAAACACAAGATCAAAAATCCACTTAAGGGATATAGATAATTCCCTGAAACAGGCAAGCATATTACTTGTTGAAAGCCTCCATGGAAGTTTCTTGAGATAGCAAAATGGTTGCATCTCTGAATCCAAATCATCCCCATTTAAACAACTTGACTTCTTTGTCACCCACTCTCTTGGTCCTTTCAAGTCTTTTACAGTTGCCACAAGAGCTACAGCTTCAGCTAGCTCCACTGTCCAAGTATTGCTTTCACACCATGGTCTTTATCTCCTCAGGCAGAATTGTCAGGAACTACGAGCAAGGGCAGCTACAGATCTGCTACTTCCTACTGTCTTAGATGACAGCCACCCACAGCAAATCACCCAAAGTTGTCTTAGGGCTTCCTGAAGCTCCCAGACCTCCTGAGGGTTGAACCACCTAAAATACTTCTGGGAAATCTCATACCTGGGGAAGACCATCTAACCCCAAACTCTCTTTTCCTAATTTAACTATTAGAACGTCTACTGCACTGTATGTCTCAAGCTCTGAGAACAGGCTTCCTCTACCAAGCGTCTGTTTTCCATGCTTGGGAAGACAGGGAAATCAAGCACCCCAGCAGCTTGTGGGCTAAACACTGCCTTTCCTGCTCACCTCCCCAAAAGTTGGCTCTCAAGTTACCCTTGACTCCTCAAACACCAGGGGGAGTCAGTGGGCCTTCATAGGAAGTCCTGTCTTTCTAGGAACTCAACTAGACCTTGGGATCTAGGGCAAGAATGGGTTCCTCTCCCTGGAGAATGCGGCTGAATCAAAAGGGAAGACTTCAGGGGGAGCCATCCTAAAGCACACAGCACCACGTTAGCCAAACTCCAGGCCTAGCAACACAGATCCTTCAAGTCTTCCTGGCTTTCCAGGCCCCTAGGCTGCAGCTCGCCCAGAACTCCTGAGACTGTAGAACTTAAATCAGACCTGAACCCTCAAACTTGGAAAGAATAGACAAGATGAGAAGCACCTCCTCCATTGATTCCACCAGGGGCTGTAGGTCGTCTAGCTCTAATACTTTATCCAACCCCCTCTAGACTTCCACAGGGATTTCTGCGTCTCTATAGGCGTTTGGAGGAGCTGCCCACCGTCCCGTCCTGCCCCGCGCCCAGGCTTGGGCCAACCCCCGTGCGCTCCCCTCCCGGATACTCAGCAGCTTCCGGTCTTGCGCGCTTAGGCTTGGCAATGCCCGCGCGTTCGTATTGGGTCTTGAACCCGGAAGAGACGCCGCGGCGTCTCTTTCTACGTGAGGCTCCTGCTGCGGTTCGGAAGTCGTCTGGCTTCCCAGCGATATCTAGCAGCTTATTGGCTTCTCCCGCGCCTCACGTCGGACCCTGGCTCCGGGGCAGGGAAGCAGAATGGAAGTTAAGGACCTCCAGGAGGAGTTGACCTGCTCCATCTGCCTGGACTACTTCCGGGACCCGGTGTCCATCGAGTGCGGCCACAATTTCTGCCGCAGCTGCTTGCACCGCAGCCGGGTGCCGGGCAGCGGCCCGTTCCCCTGCCCCGAATGCCGGCACCCATCGGCGCCCACCGCGCTGCGACCCAACTGGGCCCTGGCCAGGCTGACGGAGAAGACGCAGCGCCGGCGCCAGGGCCCGGTGCCCCCAGGCCTTTGTGGCCGCCACTGGGAACCGCTGCGGCTCTTCTGCGAGGACGATCAGCGGCCCGTATGCTTGGTGTGCAGGGAGTCCCAGGAGCACCAGACCCACGCCATGGCACCCATCGACGAAGCCGTCGAGAGCTACCGGGTGAGCTGGCCGTAGCGGTGACCATTACGGTATTGCCTGATAAAGTTTAAATTCTTCTAAAAGAGCTACGAAGTGGCCGTCATTCCTGTTGGAAGGAAGCATGAAAGCCCCTGAAGCTCAAAGAAGTTAAGCAACACGCAAATTTCAGAGTTGGGTTAAACCAGCTCTGAATTCTCATTGTGTAGAATTTTCAAGGAATTGGCCCTTGGGGAGCGCCCAATAAAGAAAAATATACTGAGAGGGTGTGTGCCGCTGCTGTCCAATAGAAACAGTACAGAACACGTATGTAATTTAAAATGTAGAAACATAAGGAAATGAGGTGATGCTAATTTTAGTAATATATTTTATTTAATCATTACCCCAAATATTCAAAATTGAGATGAAAATTATCAATGAGTTTTTTTTTTCTTTGAGACGGAGGCTCACTTTGTTGCCCGTGCTGGAGCGCAGTGGCGCTGTCTTGGCTCACTGCAACCTCCACTTCCAGGGTTCAAGCAATTCTCCTGCCTCAGCCTCCCAAGTAGCTGGCATTACAGGCACACGCCACCAGGCCCGGCTAATTTTTGTATTTTTAATAGAGACGGGGTTTCACCATGTTGGCCAGGATGGTCTCGAACTCCTGACCTCAAGTGATCCATCCCCCTTGGCCTCCCATAGTGCTGGGATTACAGGCGTGACCACTGCGCCCGGCCTCAGTGAATATTTTATACTCCTTTTTCATAATAGGTCTGAAATCAGTGTGTATTTTACCTTTACAACACTTAGCAGTTTGGAATATCTACATTTCAGGTGTTTGTGTGGCTAAATGGATGCTGTATTGGACAGTGCCTGTCTATATCTGTAGATGTAATAGACAACTGATGGCTTGGAAAAAGCCTGGCTTCTAATGATGAGGGTGGGCTTTGTTACTAGCTTCCTTCATCAGTTGGGAAAATCACTTAACATTTGAATTTGGGGATTATCTGTCCTATCTATCTCATGGGTTAAGAAGCTTGAATTGCATAAGTCAGTTTACCTTACTCTGCTTCAGCCACACTGGCTTTCTTGCTTTTGTTTCAAGTCTGTTCTTTCTTTACCCACATCTTCTATCCTTTAGATGCTTTTAACTGTTTAGCTTGAAGACCTTCCCTGATCATCCTTTACAGAGTAGCCCCACCCCCTTCCATTCCTGATGCTGTAACTCCAGGGGTCGCCAGCAAAACTGATCTGCAGTAAGTACATAAACACACAAATGTATTTATTTATTTCATTTATTTATTTTTGAGATGGCGTCTCACACTGTCGCCCAGGCTGGAGTGCAGTGGCACAATCTCAACTCACTGAAACCTCTGCCTCCCGATTTTAAGTGATTCCCCTGCCTCAGCCTCCCAAGTAGCTGAGATTACAGGCACGTGTCACCACGCCCGGCTAATTTTTTTTTAGTAGAGACGGGGGTTTCACCATGTTGGCCAGGCTGGTCTTGAACTCCTGACCTCAGGTGATCCACCCATCTTTACCTCCTGAAGTGCTGGGATTACAGGTGTGAGCCACCTTGCCTGGCCAAACAAATTTAATGACATAGTGAAAATGTTTGGAAACTGTAAAATACTGTACAGTTCTACCAGCTATGAACAGGAAACAGACACAAAGCTGAACTAGAAAGTGTATGTTCATTCATTCACTCAGTAACCTTTATTGATGCTTACTGTATGCCAAACATCGTTTTAGAATCTGGACTTCAGTGGATGAGAAGGACATGGGCCTTGTCTTGTAAGGAACTTAAGCGTGTAGAACATTAATTTCAGTGCATGTGAGAGTTGTTGAAGTATTTGCCAAGTGTGCAGAAGGTCTGAGGTCAGAGTGATCACTGAGGAGTGAGGAAAGGCTCCATTGAGGAGTTAAACGTGTTAGCTCTTGAAGGGTGCGCAGAGGTAGGGGAGAGGGTATTTCAGGCCAGAGGAATAGCATATTCCAAATGTGGTGGAGTGGAATAGCATGTGGTGTGTGAGAGGCCTGGAGGTTGCTCAGTACTTCTGCAGCATGGAGCATGGGAGGGGGGATGGTGAGCCATGAGCTTGAAGAAAAAGTCAGGGCTTTATCATGAAGGATCTTGTTTGCCATACTAAAAAGATGGACTTCTCTTTCAGGCAATGAGGAGTTATAGGATTTTAAGGCAGGGAATGACATAAATGTTTTAGAAGGGTAATTTGGACATCCACATGGATGAATGGAAGAGAAGACCAGTTAGGCTGCTGTGGTACCATTTTAACCAGGAGGTAATAAGGCCCTGAATTAGTTCAGGGCAGGGAGAAGGAGAGATGGAGTGATTATGAGCTGGAGTTGAGTGACTTGGTGACCAGTTAGACTTGGTGGGTGAGAGAGAGAGAGAGAGAGAGAGAGAGTGTTTTGGATGGTAGTCCAGATTTCTGCTTCACATGGCTGGTAGATGACTGTCATGTTAACCGAGGTAAGGTACACAGGAGGAAGTATAGTCTTAGGACAGAAGATCCCTTACTCACTGTGGGATATATTGAGTGTGATGTAACTGACAGGAAGTCCAAGGAAGAGGGACAGGAGGTGAGGTGCCTTGGAGGCTAGAAATAGCACTTTAGAATCCTCAGCCTATTCTTAAAGTCATGGAAGAAGTAAGAAGATGAGATTCTCCTAGGGGGACCACATAGAGGGTAAAAAAAAAAAAAAAGCACAAAGAGAAGCTTGGGAAATGTCAATGGTTAGTAGCCAGCAAAAGATATGGAGAGGATCCATCAGAAAAATGGAAAGGAAAATACACTTGTGGGTGGGGGCCGAGGAAAATATAAGTGGATGGGTATGAAAGGGGAACGGAGCCCTTACATCTTCCATCTTCAGCAGTAATAGCTATCAGTGGTGCATTACTTCTTATGTACCACTCAACAAGTCTAAGCATTTTTCATATTGTAATTTTTTAATCCTCATAGACATCCTGTTAAGTGGATTCTGTTATTCCCTTTTTGAAGATGAGGCAACTGTAGCACAGAGATGTGAGGTTATGTGCCACTAAGGTCACAGAGCTAGAAAGTGGCTAAGCTTGAACTGATGTCCTCTAACCCCTAAAGAAGAGGTGGGATTTCAGGATTAAACACAGTGGCCCAACAGGACAGGAACCAGTGGGTAAGGGTTACGCTGGGATGAACTGAATGTCCCAGGGTTGACTGAGTAGGTGTTCAGGATGCAGCTCACTGAGCAGAATTTTCTGATACCCACCCGTCTCTCCATCCTCCTCTGCTTAGTCATTGACCCATTCAACCACTTTTTTATTCCATCCCCACCCCAAGGTAGTTCGAAAAACATACACTGCTCCTGTATCCAAGCATCCCATTCTCATCATATACTCAGATGGATGGACTGTGTCCTTAAAAGTTAGACAGCTTCATAAATCTCCAGATGCAAATTGTTTGCATGGAAAAGACTTCCAAGCACAGCTCTTTTTTCCTTTATGCCTGACTCTAGGGGCTAATCCCTCCATTCTGTTAATTCATTCAAGATATTTATTGAGCACTGGTTTTGTGTCAGATGCTGTGGTGCGGGACCAGATGCAGTGCTGGGAATCCAGTGGTGAACAAGGCAGGTAAAGGCTTTCCATGGAGCTCCCAGTCCAGTTGGGCTGAGTGGAGGTAGACAGTAGACTGACAAATTAATGAAATCATTACAGACGGTGATGGCATACTGAGAAAGAAAAAGCAAGTTCTATCCCACGCCTGTAATCCCAGCACTTTAGGAGGCTGAGGCACAAGGATCACTTGAGGTCAGGAGTTCAAGACCAGACTGGCCAACATGTCGAAACCCTGTCTTTACTAAAAATACAAAGATTAGCTGGCCGATGGGCCTTGTAATCCCAGCTACTTGGGAGGCTGATGCAGGAGAATTGCTTGAACCCGGGGGGCAGAGGTTGTAGTGAGCCAAGATCATGCCACTGCACTCCAGCCTGGGTGACAGAGCAAGACTCCGTCTCAGAAAAAAGAAAAAGAAGGGACTTCAATTAGGTGTGCAGTCTTCTCTGAGGAGGTGACATCATTGCAGTTGAAACTTGCTGGATGATTGCTGCTCATCAACTCTTAAGAAATAGAAAAAAAAGGCCGGGCGTGGTGGCTCAAGCCTGTAATCCCAGCACTTTGGGAGGCTGAGGTGGGTGGATCACGAGGTCAAGAGATTGAGACCATCCTGGTCAACAAGGTGAAACCCCGTCTCTACTAAAAATACAAAAAATTAGCTGGGCATGGTGGCGCATGCCTGTAATCCCAGCTACTCAGGAGGCTGAGGCAGGAGAATTGCCTGATCCCAGGAGGCAGAGGTTGTGGTGAGCCGAGATCGCGCCATTGCACTCCAGCCTGGGTAACAAGAGCGAAACTCCGTCTCAAAAAAAAAAAAAAAAGAAATAGAAAAAAGAAAACCAACTTGCTGGATGAGGAGTCAGCCATCTGAGGAACCGTGGGAAGAGATCCTGAGGCTGGGGAGAACTGGATTAGTTTATGGGACAGGAAGAAGGTCTCTGTGCCTGGAGGACCAAGAGCAAAGGGAAAGGTAGCATGAGAAGTGACACGAGATGTAGGCAGTGGCCAGCTTATGTTGGGCCACAGTAAAGTGTTTGAATTTTCTTGGTGAAAAGGAAAGCCACTGAAGAATCTTGAGCAGGAGAGTGATAATATCTGATTAGTTTTTGGAAAAGTTATTCCAAGGCCAGGTGTGGTGGCTCACACCTGTAATCCCAAACTTTGGGAGGCTGAGGCGTGAGGACCACTTGAGCCCAGGAGTTCAGGACCACCTTAGTCCCAGCTACTCAGGAGGCCAAGACAAGTACTCAGGAGTTGGAGGCTGCAGTGAGTTATGATCACGCCACTGCTGCAGCTTTGTGGATATTGTATGAGAGAAGGACATGACTGTAAGTAGGGAGAGCAATCGGGAGTTATTGTAGTTGTCCAGACGAAAGATGTGGTGGCTTAAACTAGCAGTGGCAGTGGGGATGGCACATAGGCAGATTTGAGGTATATTTCAGAGGTAGACCTACCAGCTTGGATTGATTGCAGAAGTTACAATGACTGAAATTCACAGAACTTAAGAGCTGGGACGGTATTTAAGAGACATTTAGTCCAATTGTCTTCATTTTATAGGTAAGGAAGCTTTGATCAGGAAATAAGTGAGGCTGACTTGCTCACAGATGCACAGCTGGTTTGAAAGTCTAGAGTGAAACTAGGATCTTTGGAAGTTTAATGTTGTTTGAACTACATGATCACAAGTCAGTAAATGTTTTCATTCTGTAAAAGTATGCCCTTTTATTATGCTTGTGTCTTTATATATGTACAATTTTCTGGTGCTAAATGAAGAGAAAGTGATTTTTTAAATTTCCGGTATTTTTAACCCAGATTGAAATGCTTGGTGTTGCGCTCCTGCCACCTGCTGGCAGTTTCTGTTGTTGCAGGGAAGGTGTTTTCTAATTTCCCCCAAGGATTGCCAAGTTAACTCACCTCCCAGTTTAGAACCCAGCTGTGGCCGGATTCAAAAAGACTTAGGTGGAGTCTTGAATAATAGAACCATATGAGATCATTCATGCACACTGACTTGTTAAGGGTTTCTTAAAAATAGAAAATCCCTATTTAGTCGATTATTATTTTTTCATTATTAAGCAAAAGTGAGAATGTTCCAAAAAGCCTGGTCATGTTTGAAGGAGCTAATATATCTCTCATTACAAGCCTCATATACATCATATTTGACAGTGACTACAAAGTGGCAGTTATAATTGAATAAAGAAGTGAAATTACATGAGAGAGCTTACTGAGTAGCAGGGTTATATGCCTATTAAAGTTAACCACTAAAGATGATAAATAGATTATGTAATGTTGGGAAACATGGTAGAAAGAACATAGCATAGATGATACTGTGCCATGTAACAGAACTGTATACATCCTTTTTATAATTTTATTTTATTTTTTCCTACTTCATTTTGCCATGAAAATTTCAAGCATACATCAAAGTTGGAAGAATTTCATGATAACAGCAGTATGCCCACATCCGGATTCTACCATTAACATTTGACTTGTTTATTGCATAGCTGTCGTCTGTGTCTCTCTTAATGCATCAATTCGTACTTCCTTTGAAGGCTTTTAAAATTCAATTGCAAACAGAGTACTTTAGCATGTATATCATTAACCAGGTTTAACATTTGTTTACGGTACTTTTTTTTTTTTTTTTTTAAATAAGTAGAGTCTTGCCCTGTCACCCAGGCTGGAGTGCAGTGGTGCACTGCTGGCTCACTGCAACCTTCGCCTCTGTGTTGAAGTGATTCTTCTGCCTCATTCCCCTAAGTAGCTGGATTACAGGCCTGTGCCACCACACCTGGCTATTTTTTTGGATTTTAGTAGAGACAGGGTTTCACCAGGTTGGCCAGGCTGGTCTCGAACTCTTGGCCTCAGGTGACCCACCTGCCTTGGCCTCCCAAAGTGCTGGGGAGGTGAGCCACCGAGCCTGGCCTATGGTATTTTTTGAGGTAAAATTTAATACAATGAAAAACACAAGTCTTAGTTGTACATTTGCTGAGCTTTGACAAATGCCCTTCTCAAGATAAGGATATTACCATCCAGACAACTCCTTCATGCCCTTTCATGGTTGTTCCCTGCACCCTTCCTCTACCAGGATAACCACCATTCTGATTTTTTTTCAAACACAAATTAAGTTTTACCTTTTCTAGAACTTCACATAAATGTGATTCCATTGTCTGTATTCTTATATAGGATCCTTTTGCTCAGCATATTGATTTTGAGATTCATATTTTGTATAGGTGAGTGCAGATGTAATTGCGGTTTTTGCCATTTTTTAATCCACCTTCCTATCAGTGAATACCCGTTTCCAGCTTCTAGCTATTGTGAATAAAGCTGCTGTGAATATTCTTGTACACGTTTATTTACGGGTACGTGTTTTCATTTTTCCTGGGTCTAGGAGTAGAATTGCTGTACCCTAGGATTAATGTATGTTAAGTTTTACGCTGGACCTTCCAAAATGGTGGTAACATTTCACTCACCCACCGATGTTGTGTAAGAGTTCCAGTTGCCCCATATCCTTGCCAACTTCGATGTTATCAGCCGACAGTTATTTAACTTGATTTTAACCGTTGTCACTTATAAGTGATTGGATGAAAAGTTATACCTATTAGTCATTATTATTTTTCTAGGGAAGAATTTAAAAAGTTGTATAGATTATTATTTTTTTCCTTTTTCTCTCTCTCTGTTTTTTTTACAGATTATATCTTAGGTCTAATAATTTCCTTTTTTCTTTTTTTTTACATATATTCAGAGTTATAGAAAGTTGCGCCAGGCCACTGTCCAGCATTTGACACTGTTCACTAGTTTTGTAATTTAAATGGTCTCTTCCTTTGGCAAAGGAGAAACCTTTCTCTGTTGGTTTTTCACCAACTGCGCACCTTAGCTTCTTTGCAGGATTTTTATCCTCTACATACTGCTTACATGTAGCTGTTGCTAGTTCTACCTTCATCCTCTTACTCTGTAGAATCTTACTGGGTGATTTTCCACACACCCAGGGCTCTGATGCCACCTGTGCTTTAATCCCGAAGTCTGCTTCTGCAGCATAGCTCTCCTTCCTGACTCTAACTGCTAACATATCCACTAGCATGTCCCAAATTGAGGCATCTCAGACTCAACTTATTTAGGTGAAATTTATTTTCCTTCCTCCATTTACACACTACTTATCTTCCTATATTTTTTAATTTGATAAATAACCTACAGTCCATCTGGTTACTTAAACCAGAACCCAGGGGCTAAATGGACTCTCCTCCTGCAGCCATTTGGTCATCAGTTCCTATGGGTTTTTCTCTTGCGTGTTTCTCTTAACCTGTCTCTGCCTCCATCTCTGCACTTGCAGCTGACATTCTGCTATTGGGTGCTGCCTCTCAGCCCAATTTGTCAATGTTGATTGTCTTGCTTTATTTTTGAATAACTTACTCAGGTTTTTAAATTATAAAAATGGTATATGACACTTGTAGAAATTAAAGCAAAAATGTAAAAGATTTCTAGTACCCCACCTCCCAACTTGTAAGCCATTCTTACTCCTTGGAAATCGCCAGCATTAATACTTAGGTATAAATCCTTCCAGATTTCCCTTGTCTTCACATACCAGTACACACACACAGATGAACACATATGTGCATACACAAATTTAGTCTTTTCAATACAGAATTATACAATACATACTGTCTTACAGCTTGCTTTCAACTTATTGTGTATTTCATGTCAGTGTATAGACAGCTACCTGAAATTGATGCAAAGTATCAGTATACCATAATTTATTTAATAATTCCTAATTAGTGGATAATGAATAGTGCTGTAGTGACCATTTCTTTACATATTGGTTATTTTTGCTAGTGTTTTGTTGCATAGGTTATTAGAAGTAGCATTATACACATTTTAAATTTTGTTAAATCCTGTCAGTTGTCCCTCAAAAAAAAGGTACCTTTTTCATCTCCTGTGGTGCCAGAGGCCTTCTCCCTGCCAGGAGTAGATATTTGTTATTCTTCTAATGGTTTTTAGTTTTTGCCAACTTACTAGGAAAACTCAATATAGTGTTGTGATTTTTTTCAGGCCAGAATAGTTCTCATCAGAGGCCTGTGACTATCTTCAGTATTTTCTCAATCTCATTCTCTGTTTTGATTAAGTGACTTTAGCTCTTAAAAAATGAAGTTGCCAGGCGTGGTGGCTCATTCCTGTGATCCCAGCACTTTGGGAGGCTGAGGTGGGCGGATCTGTTGAGCCCAGGAGTTCAAGACCAGCCTGGGCAACATAGGGAGACTTTGTCACCACGAAACATAAAAAAATTATCCAGGCCTGGTGGAGTGTGTCTGTAGTCCCAGCTACTTGGGAGGCTGAGGTGGGAGGATCACTTGAGCTTGGGAGACTGAGGCTGCAGTGAGCCATGATCAGGCCACTGTAGTCCAGCCTGGGTGACAAATGAGACTGTCTCAAAAAAAAAAAAGAAAAGAAAAAAGAAGATGATGATGGTTGGAGACATGTTTTCTTACCTGTGCGTGTTTCTGCTGGCAGGAGAAACTTCTTCAGTCTCAGTGTAATCTTGGGGACAAGATGAAGACACTCTTGGAATTACAGGAAATAGAAGCAAAGATCGCTACACGGTGGAAGGTAATAGCAGAAGTGGTTGGACATTTCTTGCTCCTGAGGTCCTTTCAGTCTGGGACCTTTCTTCTGAGGTCCTTTTGGTCATGGTGTTTTGCAGGATGCCTCAGAACCTGTTTCCTCCATAGCATGTGATTGAAGAAGAGCTTTCTGGGTGTCATCAGTTGTCAGGCCCCTTGTAGATACAGGGATAGGAGAGGAAGTACCTGTCCCTGCTGTCAGTGGCTTTGGGTGATACGAGTTCCACATATTTCATCTCCATGTGTCTACTTTAAGGGAGCGCCCCTATCCTTCTTTCTTTTTTCTAAATATACTCCTTATGTTGGAGTCGGTTTGGGCCCATGGCATTGTGGAAGGAAACAGATGAATGGACTTTGCTTTCAGGGAGGCTAATTGTAGTTGGGAAGTATACATGGGTGCTTGTGTGCAGTGTGCACGTGTGTGCACACACATACACACACACATTCCTAAAGATTTAACACAGCTAAACCAGTGTTCTGAGGGCTAAACTAAGTGGTAGATGTGAAAGTTTGTTTTAGTTTAAAACTTGTCAGTAGTAGAGACTGAAATGTTAGGAAGAGTGAATGAATACTATAATGACTAGTATAGAGCTGTCAAGTAGGTATAAATAAAGGAGTAATTACAGAAATTTAGGGGGATGGGCAGGAGCTTTTCTAGAGGGGTTGATTAAGATGGAAAGGCCTGTGGATTACTGGGGAATTGTGTAAGGAATTTAGTAGCTGGGGTCAGACAGAAAAAGGAGTGAGCAAATCTTATGTGGCCGTAGGATAAGATAAAGAGTCAGCGAATGAGAATCAGCACGGAGTTTTCAAAGCTGCACAACTTCCTGGTTGAAGAAGAAGACCTGTTTATTCAAAGACTGAGCAAAGAAGAAGAAGAGACAAAGACGAAGCTGAATGAGAACAGGTTAAAACTCAATCAAACAATTTCTTCATTGAAGAAGCTCATCGTAGAGGTTGGGGAGAAGAGGCAAGCCCCCACCCTGGAGCTGTTGCAGGTGAGACAGTTATGGGTGGGGATGATCTTGTTTTCCTTCATAAGTGAACTTCCTCTTGTCTTAAGAGCTGAACGTCCTTCCTGGTGAGTGGGTTTCATAGACGTGTCTTATCTCTGTTGCTAGTTCTGTTACTCCTGTCACACAACTAAAAAGTCAAAGATTCACCATTCAAAGGAAATGAATGTGAAATTTAGGTATGCTGAGCTCAGGTCATAGGAGATAAGTTGATTCACATGGTCTCATAGTTCATCTAGGATCGGAGACTTAGCACGTCTAAGACTTTTTCATTCTTCTTATTTGTACATTTATAATTCGTTATTAAACAATAAAACAAAGCAAGCATAAAACTCCCAAGTACGTAATTGTATCAACAATAAGACAAACTTATCTTTCTCGCTTATTATTATTATTATTTTTTGAGACTGAGTTTCGCTCTTGTTACCCAGGCTGGAGTGCAATGGCGTGATCTTGGCTCACCGCAACCTCCACCTCCTGGGTTCAGGCAATTCTCCTGCCTCAGCCTCCCGAGTAGCTGGGATTACAGGCATGCGCCACCATGCCCAGCTAATTTTTGTATTTTTAGTAGAGACGGGGTTTCACCATGTTGACCAGGATGGTCTCGATCTCTTGACCTCATGATCCACCTGCCTCGGCCTCCCAAAGTGCTGAGATTACAGGAGTGAGCCACCGCGCCTGGCCTCTCGCTTATTTTTATTACAATCACAGCTTAATTACACTTTGTTCTTATCCCCATATTTTGAGTGGTGCTTTCATTTAAATAATTTCCAATATCTAGCAACGTTCAAAATATTACAATTGCAACTCAGCATTTAAGGTTGGGTCTTTAGGCCAGTTTGTTATAAAAAAGCCTTCCTTTGGGTTAATCTTTACCTTTATGTTCTCTTTAGGTGAAGTGTCCTTATAGCTTCTTTTAGTTAGTTTCTGGGTAGGTCCTACATTTGTGACTGTCCCTTTTTTTTTTTTTTTTTTTTTTGCTGAAATAATTCATGTTGGGCCTCAGATGTCTCAGAACATCTGTTTCCTATGTATCATGTGACTGAAGGTGAAATGATCTCTGAAAGATATTCTCCAGAACATTTTCTGTGTACCATTACTATTCTTTTTCGTAAGCAAGAGACAACATTCTGTTCTCTTAAGGAAGAGAGAAACCTGGACCCACCCACTAGTTATTATCAATAAGAAATTGCTAGCTAGGTTTTATGTGATAGATACAACATTTTTCTTTTTTTTTGAGACGGAGTTTCGCTCTTGTTACCCAGGCTGGAGTGCAATGGCATGATCTCGGCTCACCGCAACCTCCACCTCCTGGGTTCAGGCAATTCTCCTGCCTCAGCCTCCTGAGTAGCTGGGATTACAGGCACGCACCACCATGCCCAGCTAAGTTTTTGTATTTTTAGTAGAGACGGGGTTTCACCATGTTGACCAGGATGGTCTCGATCTCTTGACCTCATGATCCACCTGCCTTGGCCTCCCAAAGTGCTGGGATTACAGGAGTGAGCCACTGTGCCTGGCCCTAGATAACATTTAATATTAAATGTAATGATTTCCAAGAATTACGTAAAAGTTTTACAATACTATTAAGCAATGAAGTTCCAAGTGCATACCCAAATGTGTGTCATGAAAGAATCTCTGAAATAACGCATTTAAAATACAGGCTTAACATCTAACCTCTGAGATACATGTGAACCAGCAGAATGTTTACAAACATATCAGCAAACAGAAATGCAAAATTAGGGAAATGATTAAAAAAGATGAAAGTGGGGCTGGGTGCTGTAGCTCATGCCTGTAATTGTAGCATGTTGGGAGGCTGAGGCAGGCAGATCACCTGAGGTCAGGAGTTTGAGACCACCCTGGCCAACATGGTGAAACTCCATCTCTACTAAAAATACAAAAATTAGCCATGCCTGGTGGTAGGCACCTGTAGTCCCAGCTACTTGAGAGGGTGAGGCAGGGGAATCATTTGAACCCAGGAGACGGATTGCAGTGAGCCAAGATTGTGCCACTGCACTGCAGAGTAAGACTCTGTCCCCAAAAAACAAAGTAAAACAAACAAAAAATGATACTGAAACGAAGAATCTCAGAGCCTGAGAGAACTTACTGTACTTATCTCTCCATCCATTTTTAAAATTGATTCCTTCACTTTTACCCCATGACCCACTTCTGAGTGACATGTGCATCCTTCACAGTTTACGTTTTCCTTTTTCTAGTAATTGATAAGCCTCCAACACCATCACCACTACAAATAATGCTGCAGTCAAACCATTAATATCTGCTCTTTTTTGCTTCTCTTTATTTTTATTTTATTTATGTAGGTTTTGGGACAGGCTCTCGCTTTGTCACCTGGGCTGGAGTACAGTGGTGTGTTCATAGCTCACTGCACACTAGAGCTTCTGGGCGCAAGTAATTTTCCCACCTTGACCTCCCAAAGGGTCGGGGGATTACAGATGTGAGGCACTGTCCCCAGCTGTTTTGTTTAAATTGGTCTTTGGGTTTCTTCTCTAGCTCTTTTTTCAACTTCTTGAGTTGGAATGCTTGGCTTATTTATATTTACCCTTTTGTTTGCTGGCAAATTTGTTATACTTTTACCTTTAAGTATTGCTCTGTATTCCACAGATTTTGACAAGTTGTTACATTTATTATCATAATAAAATAAACATTAAAACGCATTGTGGCTCATGCCTGTAATGCCAGCACTTTGGGAAGCTGAGGTGGGAGAATCTCTTGAGCTCAGGGATTTGCACTAGCCTGGGCAACTTAAATAAAGACCTTGTCTTTATTTTAAAAAAAGTATGACACCCGTGGAGAAAAATCATAAGCCTGACATATTATCTCAAAGGGACCACTCATGTAGCTACTACTGAAGTCACAAAGTAGAACACAAATAGCATCCTAGAAGCTTCCTCATGTCCCAGTCAGTACGCCCTTCCCTTCTCCTCTAAGGGTAGCCTCCTTCTGGACCTCTCATACTCTTGTTTCGTTTTGCATTTTTTTTTTGAGATGGAATCTTGCTGTATTGCCCAGGCTGGAGTGCAGTGTTTTGATCTCAGCTCACTGTAGCCTCTGCCTCCTGGGTTCAAGCGATTCTTCTGCCTCAGCCTCCCAAGTAGCTGGGATTACAGGCATGTGCCACCATGCATGGCTAACTTTGTATTTTTAGTAGAGACGGGATTTCGCCATGTTGGCCAGGCTTGTCTCGAACTCCTGACCTCAAGTGATGCATTTGCCTCGGCCTTGCAAAGTACTGGGATTACAGGCATGAGCCACTGCGCCTGACACTCGTTGTGCGTATTTTTGAGTGAGTATCTTACAGGATGCATTCTTTTTATTGGCTTCTTTTGCTCACATTACATTTGTGAGATGAATCCATGCAGTAGGTATTTTTTTCATTGCTATCCACCAGTGTTTTCAATCAGAGTGATTTGGCTCCCTCAGAGTGCAAAATCTGACATTTTGTGGAGACATTTGTGGTTGTCACAACTTGAGGGTGGTTACTATTAGCATCTCTTGTGTGCAGGATGCTACCAGACATTCTGTAATGTACAAGACATGCCTGCCTTCAGCCCCCAGCAAAGACTTATCCAGACCCAAACATCAGTAGTGCCTGTCGTATTCTATGATATTAATATACCAAAGCATATTATTCATTTTTCTTTAGAGGGAAATTTGGATAATTTCTGTTTTTATCGTTATTAAAAACAGAGATATTTATGAACATATCTTTTTGGCTGCACATTTATACACATTTCTATTAGTTGTATACCTGTGAGAACAATTCCGGGTCGTAGAACATACATGTGTGTTGAGTTTTAGTAGATGATTGCAAACCATGTTCAAACTGGTACAAAGTGATGGTTCTGGTTTACAGTATTGTTAGCAGTGTGTAAAGATAAGTCCCAGTTGCTCTGTATCCTCACCAATACTCGGTTTGGCAGTTGTTTAACTTGGCCATCTTGAAGGGTGCAGAATGTCGTCTTCTGCCCTTAGTCAGCACCCCTTCCCTCTTCCTAAACATATATGGATACATATAGACACCTTTCCTTGATAAAGATATTTTCTTTTTTTAAATGCAGGGTCTCACTCTGTTGCTAGGCCAGAGTGCAGTGGCACCATCTTGGCTTAATGTAACTTCTGCCCCTCAGGCTCAAGCAATTCTTATGCCTCAGCCTCCCAAGTAGCTGGGATTATAGACACCTGCCACCATGCCTGGCTAATTTTTGTATTTTTGGTAGAGATGGTGTTTCACTGTGTTGGCCAGGCTGGTCTCAAACTCCTGACCTTAAGTGATCCACCCACCTCAGCCTCCCAAAGTGCTGGGATTACAGGCATGAGCCACTACGCCTGTCCAGATGAAGCTATTTTCCTGATAACTAATGAGATTTGAGCACTTTTCATGTGGTAATTAACCATTTTTTTTTAATGAACAATTTAGATTTACAAAAGAGTTGAGAAGATGGGACAGAGTCCTTACATACCCCTTACCCAGTTTCCTGTGTTGTCAAGATCCAGTGTTAATATGGTTCATTGGTTACAATTAATGAACCAGTGGTACAGTATTATTAACTAGAGTTCATCGTTTATTTCCATTTCCTGTTTTTATCTACTGTTCATTTTATTCTCCACCTGCACCTAGGATACCAGATTATATTTGGTTGTCATTGTCTCTCCTTAGCTGCCTCTTGGCTGTGACATTTTCTCAGACCTTTCTGGTGTTTGATGATCTTGACAGTTTTGAGGAGTGATGGTCAGGTATTTTGTAGGCTTCCCCCTATTGGATTTTGTCTAATGATTTTCTCATGATTAGGCTGGGTTACAGGTTTTTGGAGGAGCCGTATTTTTTTAAATACACGTTGGCATTGGTAACCTGATTTTGTTACTTAGAATTTTTGCATCTATGTGTTTAAGTAAAATGGGTCTATATATTTTTTCTAATATTTTGTTTCATGGCTCTGAAAAATCAGTTAGGAAAATGTTCTTTCTCTTTTCTGTCACAACTTAGGGATTTTTCAGTTCCCTAAAGTTTAGTAAAATTTACCTGTAGAAAAGCTCTTTGGACTTGGGCATAATAAAATATCCTTTATGATTATAATTTAAAAGTAATCTTGTAAGGCAAAGGGAAGGAGAAGAGTGGAAGCCTAAAGCTGGAGCTTCTGAGGACTCCACCAAAAGGCAGGCATAGGAGCGGGCTCTGTGATGGAAACTAGTTGGGGAGACTGGCGGGAAGCCAGGAGCCAGTTCATGTCATGGTGCCCAAGGAGAAAGAGTAGGGGCTTAGGAAAGGGACCAGTCAGCATTGTCGAATAGTGCAGAGGAGCCACGTGAAAGAAAGGACCAGATTCTGTCACTCCATTGACTTTGGCAACAGGAAATCATATGTGACATGAGCAAAAGCAACTGTCAGAAAATACCCGCTCACGTAGTTGTGTCCCAGCTCTCCAGGAGAAGGTTCGTAACTTGCTTATTTCTTTCTTCTTTTCACAGAATCCGAAAGATGTGTTGACCAGGTATGCACTCCTGTTCTCTTATGGGGACCTGGGTGGCATGGTAAAGATACAGGCTGAGCAGAGGGGAAACAAGGCCTAGGCACCACAGGTCAGTCTGAGCACACCCTGAAGGGGATCTGAGGAAAAATCCTCCTGATCGCTTCTGCAAGGAGGAATGGGAACAAAAGCCATCTGAACTGTGGGCTGAGAACCTTTGACTGGGACTGGGCGTCTTGGTTACCCTAGTTGTCCGCTAAGATCAGTCTTCTCTACTTTCTTAGGAGTGAGATCCAGGATGTGAACTATTCCCTTGAGGCTCCAAAGGTGAAAACAGTGTGTCAGATACCATTGATGAAGGAAATGCTAAAGCGATTTCAAGGTGAGCAGAATTTCTAGGACTTGGAACTCCTTAGAAATCTTTCAAATAAGAGAATAAATAGAGAAGTCCGAAGAGGCAGGAGGAAACAGAGCCTGCAGCTAAGAGTGTCAGGAAAGTAGGAGTGCCAGGAAAGATGGTTAATAAATGGATGTATACTTCATTCAAGAAACATTTATTTCACACACTGTTAACGGGGCGCTAGTGATTCAAAAATCTGTTCACTTCTTTATGCGTTCATAAGCACGTTGGAGAGACAGACACACAGCACTCACTATTATATAGCAGGAGCCAGTGTTTGCTGGAAGTAGAAATAAAATGTTACAGAAGTTTAGGGAAGGGCTCTGTTGGGGGTGAGATGGGAAAGTTTTCACAGCAGAGGTGACAGTTTTGAGATTTGAGGGATTAGTAGGAGTTTGGCAGGTGGAAAACGGAGATGACTATTTCAAGCAGAGGCAGCAGCGTGAGTTAAGGTGTGGAGAAAATGGAGGGGCAGGTATCCAAGGAGGCTAAAGAACAAGGTGTATTTTGAGGAAAGAGAGGTTGAAGTTGAGAAGATGAATGTAGGACAGACTGAAAATAAACTCATTGGATCTCCAGGGAGGCACCAAGGCATGTACATGCTGTAGAAGCTGTGCTGGCAATTCTCACGTGCACATCCTTGATTGAGAACCATGTTGTAGGCTGGGTGCGATGGCTCAGGCCTGTAATCCCAGTACTTTGGGAGGCCGAGGCAGGCAGATCACTTGAGATCAAGAGTTTGAGACCAGCCTGGCCAACCTGGTGACACCCCGTCTCTACTAAAATAGAAAAATTAGCTGGGCATGGCAGTGTGTACCTGTAATCCCGGCTACTCAGGAGGCTTAGGCAGAAGAATTGCTTAAACCTGGGAGGCAGAGGTTGCAGTGAGTGGAGATCCCACCACTGCACTCCAGCCTGGGTAACAGAGTGAGACTGTGTCTTCAATAAAAAAAGAACCATGTTATAGATGTTTACTTCTAGCCAACATGGAGTAAATAGGAATTATTTTCTTATCTGCAGCCACTAAAATAAAAACAGAAAAACAAAACAGGCACAATATGTCAAAAACAGTTTTCAAAGCACCAGACATCAGGCAGTGAAGGACAGTGATTCTTGAGAAATGTGAAACAGACAAGGTCAACCTATGATTGCCCTAACCTCTGCCTGAGGAAGTTTCCAGGCCATCTAAGGCTGGGGTAACTGAGGTAGAGCAAGGGAGACTTGCTGAGTTGAGGAATGGAGCCAGCAGTCCATGGAGAACAAAGTAGTGAGAGTGCACAAAGTACTGGGTGGTGTCCTGGAGAGAAGAGACTCAGACAGAGAGAGAACCCTCGCCATCTATGGAGGAACTTCCTAGGTGTTCAGCAGAGTTCTGATCAGCACATGCCTATGAAAAATCTACCTATGGCTGGAGATAGAAGCTTCTAAAACGATTAGAGGGAATGGTTCCTGGTGCTCACACAGGGCCAGGAACAATGCTGGTTCATATCAGCCAGACCAGAAAACTCATGGTTCATGGGCACTGGGTAGCGTACTCAGGAAAATCTTGGCTCATCAGTAGAGAGTACTTCTCTCTGGGTACTGCTCCACACCCACCTTACAGATGATGAAAGCAAGACCCAAGAGGGTCAAACTCTTTCCAAATAACTTAACTGCATTTCAGAATAAAGCCCGAGAAAATTGATAGGAATAAACAAAAAAAGAGCACCTAACAATGTAAATTCACAATGTCTGGCATCCAGTCAAATATTGTCACACATTGAAAAAGATGGGAAAACAGTGATGCATAATGGAGGAAAATGATCAACTGAAACTGACCTAGAATTGACACAGATGTTGGAATGAGCACGGAAGGATATTAAAAAATTTATTATGAGTATACTACAAAGAGGTATATACAGACCAGATCAGAGTTATAAAGATGAAGATTGGTGATTAAGGTGAAGAATGCACAGAATGGGATTAATAGTTGATTAGATATTACAAAAGAAAAAAATGGTGAACTTGAAGACAGAGCAATGGAAACTACCCAAAATGAAATATACACAGAATAAGAGTTTTAAAAAACACAACATCAGTGACCTGCGGGACAAATTTATGCAGCCTTATCTATGGTGATTGGAGTCCCCGAAGGAGAGGAGTGGGGATGGGGATGGAATAGGAAAAATACTTGAAGAAATAGTGGCCAAAGATTTTCTGAATGTAATGGAAACTAAGTCCGCAGATCCAAGATGCTCCACAAACCGTAAGTACGAGAAATATGAAGAAAAATACACCAAGGCTCATCATAACTTGCCAGTAATAAAAAGAAAATCGTAAATGCAACCAGGAGAAAGGACATGTTACTTGAAGTGGAAAGTAATGGATGACAAAGATGACGTCACACTTCTCAGTGGAAACAGTGTAAGTGAGCAAACTCTCTAAGGTCCTGAGCCATAAACTGAACCTAGAGTTGTAGAACTGGCAAAAGATAGCCTTCAAAAACAAAGGTGAAATAAAGAAGTTTGAAGGTAAATTAAAGCTTAAAAGAAAGAGTTTACAGCAGATTGACAGTCTTTCAGGCAGAAGAAAATGCCAGATGGAAATCTCTCTACACAAAGGAATAAAAGAGCACCAGAAATGGTAATGATGTGAATAAATATATATTAGTGTCATTATTTATTCCTTTAAAAAGGAATTGTGATGGTAAGTTTATATGTCAACTACACTGGGCCACAGAGTGCCCAGATATTGGTCAAAAATTATTTTGGGTGTTTTTGTGAGGGTGATTTTGGATGAGATTAACATTTAAATTAGTAGGCCTGTGTAGATTGCCCTTCATAATGTGGGTGGGCCTCATCTAATCAATTGAGGGCCTGAATAGTTAAAAAAAAAGGTTGACCTTTCCCTTGAGCAAGATGGATTTCTACAGCATACTGCCTTGGACTTCACCTGCAGTATTCGCTCTTCCTGTCTAATGACCTTCAAAACAGAACACCAGCTCTATCTGGGTCTCGAGCCTGCCAACTCACACAGCAGATTTGGACTTGACAGTAGCAACAATCACACTAGCCAGTTCCTTACATTAAATCTCATACACTGGCTGGGTGTGGTAGCTCACATCGGTAATCCTAGCCCTTTGAGTTAGGAGGACTGCTTGAGGCCTGGCGTTCGAGACCAGCCTGTGCAACATGGTGAGACCCTGCCTCTACAAAAAATAAAATAATTAGCTGAGCATGCTGGTGTGTGCCTGTAGTCCCAGCTACTTGGGAAGCCACAGCGGGAGTATGGCTTAAGCCCAGGAGATTGAGGCTGCAGTGAGCTATGATTGCACCTCTGGACCCCAGCCTGGGCAACAGAGCAATACCCTGTCTCAAAAGAAAACCCAGAAAGCATGTGTGCACACATGCACCCACACACCACACACACATACAGCCATATGCATCCTTTTGGTTCTGTTCCTTCGGAGAACGCTGACTAATAGGCAACTATTTCAACAGACAAAAATGGTGTATTTTGTAGTTTATAACATATTTATAAATAAAATGTGTGACAACAATAGTGTGAAGATTGGGAGAGGGGAGATGAAAGTATAGTATACTGTGATACAGTTCTGTAGTATCACTTGAAGGGAGACTAATAAAAAGTGTATACTTGTGCCAGGCCCCTGCTGACTTCATTAAGGATGGCACCACGTCTGAAAGGCCAAAGAAGAGACCTGGAATCATGAAGGAGACATAGGGTTTATTGAAGACCTACATGCAGGGCAGTCCAAGAACGGCCGCTGGACAGGAAAACAACTGCTATGATTTGTGAAAAGCATGCAGGTTATAGACAGCATTTTCATTTAGCAATCTCCACCTGGCTTCCTCTATTTTACCCAGTTGAAATGGCCTCGATTTGCTGTGTAGCCTGCTTTCCAAGGAATGGACCAGGAGTTCACATGGCCTTTATAGATAAGGAATGTATTTCTGGGTTGGCCACTCCTGGATTCCTTAGCTTGGAACTCTGAACACACAGTCTTCTTAGACCATAGGGTATGCTGGAGTTAATTGCTGTCAGGTGCATCTGCCATACACTCCAGCCGAGCATACCCTTGAGTGTCCCCCCACCCCCCACCCCCATTCTTATACCATCATACCATTCTCTGCAGTTTCCCTGGGGCAAGGTATGTGCAGGAGCATTGCTGCCACATGCCGCAGCAGCAATAGAAACCACTGCAACAAAAGACAATGACAAACATAGTAGCAGTCGTGCTTTCCAGAAAGCTTTTCCAAGCACTTGAAATTGATTAAACCACATGGTTATAGGGTCATAAGACAGAGATGCTATAGCTGAAATATGGGTTTTGAGGGTTCACATAGCCCCAGTTATAATGTGAGAGTAATCAGGGATATATACACAACATTAGGTTTTAATTAATATGCAACTTCACCCTGGGCAGCAGTTAAGATGTCCAGGGCCATGAAATTTTACACAGTTGCCCAGTGAAGAGTAGTGGCATGGTGCAGATATCCTTGAAGGCTGCAGCCGTATGTTTAGCGAAGGCTCCAATTCGCAGCTCTGTATCTATTGCTGCCACTTGGGGGCAAAAATGGCCAAAGGATAAAACCAGGATGCACACTTCTGGAAGTGCCTGGCTTTTACACTCTCTCAGTTAGTAGGAATGGTGCCTAATTGGAACAGAATGTGTCTGGCAGGTAAGGGCGACCCCCGGTGCGTCTACCAGCCCAATTATAGGGTAAGTAGGGCCAGCTATGGTTGCCATCTACCCATCCCCCAAGGGGAGGGCATGGGCCCTCACACAGAGACAGTCACTGTGCCATCCTAGCCACGTACTGTTAGCTATTTGAAGGGATTGGTTGCATTGCTATGGGGGTAGCTAAACCATATTATGGGTTTAGCTTGTGACATGCTGTTACTCCTTTCTGTATGTAAGGGTGCGTGACTTACTACCTGTATCTGCACTCTTGTCACTCACCCTTGTCCATCGTGTACAGCATATGCCACAGCTGGGGTAGCATTAACCTGCACCCATACAAGGTGGAAAATATGTCATCTTGTCTGATAGATGGTGGGAAACTCACTGCATAATGTGGTGGTGGTGCTAAAGGGAAGTGCATGAGGGTCATTATGCCAAGTATAGTTGTGGCTCCAGGCACTCAGGTTAGCAGCATGGATGCACCTTCGCAGGCCCACTGTGGAGGAGAGGGGCAGCCCTCTGCAGACCCAGTAGTCTGTTGTGTTCTGGAGAGAGGTCACCATGTGCACCCAGTTGGCGAAGCAGTTCGCTGCACCCCATCTATGGGCAACAGGTGAGATGTTTAGTGGGTACAAGAAAGGTAAAGCCATTTAATTTAGTAAGACACAGGAAGTTGTGTTATCTGAGAGCACCAACCCTGGCAGTGGCCTGGTGCCTGGTTTACAATACCGAGTGGCTTGGGCTCTCTGTGATGCTTTGCAAGAAGCCAGAGTAAGCCAGTCAGGGGTGTTACAATGTTCTATAAGAGGATTATTGTTTCCTTGTACAAGGGGACTGGGATTTGTTATTTTAGAAGTACAGGGGGTGGGCGAGTAGAATGTAATAGGTGTGACCTGTATATTCTATTCTAGGCCCTTCTCCCATGGAGTACAAGAACTGACTTGAGAAATCTTTTTTTTTTTTTAGTTACTACATAATAATTGTGCATATTTATGGAGTACAGTGTGATGTTTCAATACATGTATAAAATGCATAATGATCAAATCAGTAATTAGCATATTTACCACCTCAAACATTTATCACTATCTGCATTGGGAACATTCGAAATCCATTCTTACCAACTGGGAGAGTGTAAAATCCCAGGGAGAGTGGGATCGACTGTCTCCCACTCTGTCTGAACCTATTTCCCAGCTTCACCAATTCCACAGCATTACAATCCTGCATTGTGGTGGTCTCCCTTCTTTCAGGTGGAGGCAAGTCTTGCAGGGCTACCCCCTTGGGTGTGGTTGGTCCTCTTTCATCTTGGTGGTGACCATCAGACATGCCGAGAGGATGGGAAACTCTGTGGACTCATCCCAGTCATCATCCTTCTCCCCACTAGATCTCTCCCCAGGGTCCCAGGACATAGTCATGATAGTCCTAACCCCATGTGGCAGTCAGTGACACTTACAACAGGCTACTCAACAAACCAGTATCTCCATTTTGTCATCCTTTTCCCAGAGGTGGGACAGTGAGTTCTCCAACACTTCAGCCTGAGCTAATGTATCTCTTTCTAGTTGCAGCTCACCTTGTAACTGGTACACCCTTGCCAGTGCCACAGGCTCAGCCTTTGGGCACAGGAGTGACCAGCCAACTGCAGCTGCTACAACTTGGGTATTTGACTTTCCCTTAGTTGGATCCACCCCCTGCAGCAGTTCTTCTAGGACATTTGGCATTTTGGGGGTATCCCCATACTCACCTGGTGGGCCCCACCCATCAAGGATAGTGGCTATCGGGCCCTACATACATGTGGACAGCCAGCCCAGGATTTCCCCTGTGGATTTCCCCTCCCCTGATCCCACTGTCTTGGCATTTGTGGAATTTTCTCCAATCTCATGCTGGGCTAATTGTGCTAGATCCCTGTTGATTCCAGTAGTGATGGCACTGTGTCTGAGAGGTGGAAGAGACCTGGACCCAGGGAATGAGACATAGGGATTGAGAACTTACATGCTGGGTGATCCAGGAGCAGTTGGCTGGACACAAAAACCAATTGCTACTGTTTGTAAAAAGCATGCAGATAGCATTTTCACTTAGCAACCTCCATTTAACCTGGAAAAAGGGTCTTGATCTTCTGTACAGCCTGTATTCCAAGAATGGGCCAGAGGTTCAGATGTTCAGATGTCCATCATAGATAAGGAGGGAATCTCTGGGTTGGCCACTCCCACATTCCCTAGCTTGGAAGTCTGAGCACACATTCTCCTTAGACCATCCGGTCATTCTCAGGGTATGCTTGAGTTATTCTGTGAGGTGCGTCTGTCATATGATAGTATAAGTGTTAAACCACTAAAATAAAAGAGTTGTAGCTAATCAATAAAGGAAATAAAGTGGAGTTATAAAAAATGATTAAAAATAAGGCAGGAAAAGAATATATAGGACAAATAGAAAACAGCATAATAATAGACAGATCTAATCGTACTAATAATCACATTGACTATAAATGGTCTGAAAGCTGTAATCAAAAGGCAGAAGCTGGTTGGATTGGCTAAAAAAAAAAGCAAGACCCAACTGTATACTGGAAAAGAGTGAACACATTAAATATAAAGAACCATCCATGTTTAAAGCAGAAGAATGGAAAAAGATGTATCATGTTAATAGATCTGGAGTGGATATATTAGTATCAAAGTAGATTTCTGAGCAAAGGGTATTAGCAGAGATAAAGAATGTTATATCCTAATGATAAAGGGGTCAGTCCATCAAGAGGATGCAAGTTCTAAACATTTATGCACTCGACAGTGCTTCTATATTAAGCAAAACGAATAGAGCTGCAAGGAGAAATAGGCAAATTCACAATTACATTTGGAGTTTTCAATACCTTTTAATAATATTCGGAACAATTAGGCAGTAAATCAGCAAGGATATAGTAGACTTGAATAACTGTCAATCAACTCGATTCCGTTATTTATAGAACAGTTCACCCAGCAGTTATATGCTCCATATTTTTTCAGTGTATGTGAAACATTTTCCAAGTTAGACTAAGCTGGCTGTAAAGCAGGTGTCAAGAGGATTCAAGTCATACAGAGGACGTTCTCTGATCACAATGGAATTGATAGGAATCAGTATCAAAATATCCTTTGAAAACTCCAGATGTCAAAAAACTAAATAGACTTTTTAGTAACCCTTGAATTAAAGAAGAAATCAAAAGGCAATTTAAGAAGTAGTTTGAATGGAATCAAAAGGAGAACACAACCTACCAGAATTTGTAGGATGCAGCTAGAGCAGTACTTAAAGTAAAGTGGACAGTGCTGTATTGGAAAGAAGAAACTTCTCAAATCACTGACCTCAGCTTCCACCTTAGGACACTAGAGAAAGAGGAGCAAGTAAAGCCCAAAGTAAACAGAAGAATGGAAATAATAAAAATCAAAGCAGAAATCATTGCAATAAAATATAGAAAGCCAACAGAAACCAATGAAACCAAAAGCTGGTCCCTTTGAGAATTTCAGTACAATTGATAGATCTTTAATCAAAATGATCAGAAAAAAAGAAGACACATTACTAATGTCAGAAATGAGAAAGATGACATCATTACAGATTCTACAGATGTTAAAAGGATAATAGAATATTAGGAGCAACTTTTTGCCAATAAACTTGACAACATAGATGAAATGGACGAAGTCCTTAAAAGACACAAATTACTGGCCGGGCATGGTGGCTCACGCCTGTAATCCCAGCACTTTGGGAGGCCGAGGTGGGTGGATCACAAGGTCAAGAGATTGAGACCATCCAGGTCAACATGGTGAAACCCTGTCTCTACTAAAAATACAAAAAATTAGCTGGGCATGGTGGCGCGTGCCTGTAATCCCAGCTACTCGGGAGGCTGAGGCAGGAGAATTGCCTGAGCCCAGGAGGCGGAGGTTGCCGTGAGCCATTGCACTCCAGCCTGGGTAACGAGCGAAACTCCATCTCAAAAAAAAAAAAAAGACACAAATTACCAAAGCTGACTCATGAAGATACAGGTAACTGGAAGAATCTTCTTTCTATGAAAGAAATTAGTATTAAAACCTTTCAAATGGCTTTAGTTTTGTTTCTTTTCTTTTTTTTTTTTTTGCGACAGAGTCTCACTCTGTCATCCAGGCTGGGGTACAGTGGCGCAATCAACGGTTTAAGCAATTCTCCTGCCTCAGCCTCCTGAGTAGCTGGGTCTCCAGGTGGTACCACCACGCCTGACTAATTTTTCTATTTTTTTTTTAGTCGAGATGGGGTTTCACCATATTGGTACTGACCTCGTGACCCTCCCACTTCAGCCTCCCGAAGTATTGGGATTACAGGCATGAGCCACCACACCTGTCCCCCAAATGGCTTTCTTGGTGAAACATTTTACCAGACATTTAAGAAATAAATGCCAGTTATTCACGAACTCTTACTGAAATTTGAAGAGGGAATATTTCCCAGTTCTTTCTGTGAGGTCTGTATTACCATGATGGCAAAGTCAGACAGACATTACAAGAGAGAAGAATTACAGATCAATGTCTCTCATGAACATAGATACCTAAATTCTAAGAAAACTTTAGCAAGTTGAATCCAACAATGTATTAAAAGGATACGTAATAATTATGACCAACTTACATATCCTTTGATGCACAAAAAGTATAATATATAATAATCATAATAATATGGCATTTATCCCAGAAGAGCGTGGTTGGTTTAACATTTGAAAATCGATGTAATTTTTATCATTAAAGTTTAAAAAAAAAAAGGAAAACTATCTGTCTCAGTTGAAGCAGGAAAAACATTTGTCAAACTCTTAACATACATTCCTCAAGTGATTCTCTTTTATCGGCCCCCTGAGTGCCTGGGATTATAGGTGCCCACCATCATATTGGGCTAGTGTGGGTTTTTTTTGTGTATGTGTGTGTTTTTGGTAGAGAGGTTCTCACCATGTTGCCAGGCTCGTCTGAAACTTGTGACCTCAAGTGATCTCCTTGCCTCAGCCTCCCAAAGTGCTGGGATTACAGTTGTGAGCTACTGTGCTCAGCCTAGGGCTTAGTCCTTTAGGGCAGAAGGGAAATGAGGACTTCAGGTTGCTACAGGCCATGCTGTGGGCTGCTAGGCCTGGCAGAGGATCAGTTAAAAGATGGGCATTTCTGGGGAAGGGTTGATGATCAGCTGTTGGACTACTTACCTCAGCTCTTGTTTTCTCCACAGTGGCTGTAAACCTAGCTGAAGATACAGCACATCCCAAACTTGTCTTCTCCCAGGAGGGGAGATATGTGAAAAATGTAGCATCAGCCAGTTCTTGGCCAGCGTTTTCTGCAGCGTGGAACTTTGTCGCTGGATGGAGGAATCCTCAGAAGACCGCTCATGTAGAGAAATTTCAGCACTTACCCTGTGTTCTAGGGAAAAATGTTTTCACTTCAGGGAAACATTACTGGGAAATTGAGAGAAGAGATGGTCTGGACGTTGCCGTTGGGGTGTGTCGGGAGGATGTCATGGGAATTACTGATCATTCAAAAATGTCCCCAGATGTGGGAATATGGGCAATTTATTGGAGTGTTGCTGGCTGCTGGCCCTTGACAGGCTTCCCTGGAAGTCCCATCCAGCCAGAGCCCACTGCCCACCGGGTGGGGGTTTACCTGGATCGTGGGACTGGGAATGTCTCCTTCTACAGCGCTGTGGATGGAGTGCACCTGCACACCTTTTCTTGTTCTTCTGTCTCACGCCTCCGGCCGTTTTTTTGGTTGAGTCCATTAGCATCTTTAGTCATTCCACCAGTGACTGATGGGAAATGAGGCTTTTCTTCCCCTGAGCAAAACTCCTTCTCTGTAGTCCAACTCAGGAACACACGTCCCTGGCCCTTTTCTGCCCGTCATGTCTATCCTGGGTAGTCCATCATCTGAGTCTCCCTAATTGAACCGTTTGGTATCTGCCCTTTGTGTGCTTCAGAAGAGGTAGTCCCATGGGGGGTGGTTCTGACCAATGGAGATGGGACAGAAAGTTTTCCAAAGTGCTTTTGGGGAATCTTTTTGTAGCTTTTAAAGAGATATACAGGGAAGACATATGGATGTTAGCAGCCACATTAGAACTGAGAACACAGGAATGGTGGAAAGGTAGAAGAAACAGTCTTAGTTGCCATTCTTAAATTGTTGACATTTCCTTAATCCCAACCTTCTTGCTTTATGAGATATGCCCTTATTGTATAAGGTAGTTTTAGTGGTATTGGTTATTGTAGCCTGAAGTACCCTAACTGGCAGTAAAGGCACATAATGTGAACATCCCACAGCATAGGCTTATTTCACTTCCGTGAACTTTGACAAGGGCATAGAATCCTTTTCTATCCGGTCGGGCATTGCCTCTTTTTTCTAGTAACTACTGATTCCCCCACTTTTCAGTCTTAGAAAATGGTGGGAATCTCCCTCAGGCATCAAGACCCACATTTAAGAAGGTTCTTCCGATGTAGCTACCTGAGCTCTCCAAGGACTGACCAGGGACCTTTCCAGGGCTCAAGGATTTCTGGACCTTTCTACCAGTTGCGGACCAGGAGAGGGCGGGAGGGCCCAGGGAGGGTTTTCGTACTGCTGAATGTTTTCCAGATCATATATTACAATCTTTCAAAGTGGTACACTAGACTTCATTGGTTTTTCGAGTGATAAGGCTTCAGTTGGTGGGAACAGCAGGAAAAGGCATTCCAGTCTGCCCTACTGGGTATGGCAGCCCTCCCAGGAGGGGCCCACATCCTCCTCCTGCAGTCCTTGTCCAGGGGCAAGAGGCAAACCAGCAGCTGGACTTGATCCCCCCGTGTCCCTTTGCTTCTGGCTGGTAGATAATGTCAGCTTGCTGTCTTGGTTGCCAGACCTTGTTCACTGTTTCTGTTGTGTGATCAGTTTGTGGTTTATTCTGTATTTGTCTCCCATGCCTTGCTCTTCCCCTGAAGAATCATGTCTTCTCTTTGGCCATCTCAAATTGAGAACCTCTGAACTATCCCTGCAGAACTGCCTGGCTGGCGCCCACAAGCAATACCTCTTATTCCAGCAGGACCAAGGGGCCAGCTTCTAGCGAGTGACTCCAGTAAGTGTAGCCACCTCTCCCGCGAGGGTCTGGGAGCCTGGCCCCAGCAAGAGACCCTCCAGACCTCTGGCTCTAGAGAAGCTGAATGTGCCCACTTCATGGGTCACACTCTTTGCATTTCTGTAAGGCAATCTTGGCACACTGGGGCTAAGCAGTGGCCTAGGTAATTTTTTGTTTCATGGACTATGGACTCTTTCAAAGGGATCTGATCCTTTTAAATTTTGCACAGCCCTAGTTATAATCCCTTTTGATAAAAGGGTCTTTGCTTCTGATTACAGGAGCACTGTGAACGTCTGTAAATATGTTTTTATAATCCATGTATAGCTGGTGTACACTCAAATAAAACCAGTCCCTAGCAGCCACTGTTCTCCATGTAGGGCCGTAATGGAATTCTGAAGAAATCCCGGGGAGGGAGGGGGAGTTGGAACAAATGTCTGTTCCTGGAAACCAGTCTGTGCTCAGACCTTTAGACTCATTGTAAATTGCCGCTGCCAACATGAGACCAAAGTGTGTGACTTGTCAATGCAGCGTGACAACATTAAAGACTGATGTTACACCTCAAAAGAAAAAAAAAAAAAAATTGTGGGAATCTCCCCTCACTCTGCCCATGTTGCAGTCCCTCTCTTCCCAACCATGTCTCTGCCCTCAACTATTAACTGTGCTGTGTATTTATCAACTCTGCCCTCAACTATTAACTGTGCTGTGTATTTATCAACTCTGCCCTCAACTATTGACTGTGCTGTGTATCTATCAACTCTGCCCTCAACTATTGACTGTGCTGTGTATTTATCAACTCTGCCCTCAACTATTGACTGTGCTGTGTATCTATCAACTCTGCCCTCAACTATTGACTGTGCTGTGTATTTATCAAGTACCTATATCGTATGTGCAGGGTTATTCATGTCATGAGAATGTTGGAATGCTTGTTAAATACTTTTGCTAGCCTCTTCATATACTATTGCATATGACTCTCATCACAACTCAGTGAGATGGAAAGTAAAATCCTATTTGTACAAATGAGAAAACCCAACTCTTTATAGAATAACTAGCTCATTATTGGCTTGCTGGTAAATGGCAGTGTTGGGATGAAAACCCAGATTTGTCTGAGATGAAGGCCCATGCTCCTATCTACTCTCCCTTTATTCAGAAGCATTGACTGGCTGTTGATCTTTGTTTCGGGTTTTGATTTTGTTATATATTTTTTTATCCTGTGTATGTTTTCCTCACTCTACCCTTCTGCTCTAAATTGTCTGGACTCAGGAGATTGTGGCAGTTACTGGATAGTTATTTTTAAAATAATGATTGCTTTTCTCTTCTATAAAGTCATGTACTTATTGTAGAAAGCTTATAAGATAAAAAAAAGTATAAAGTTATGTACTACTAACATTTTAATGTATTTTCTTCCGGATTTTCAATAAAGACTTTCAGGCAGCAGTTTAATGAGGATTTTTTTTTAACTTATGTTTTAGTTTCGGGGGGACACGTGCAGGTTTGTTCTACAGATGAATTGCATGTCACAGGGGTTTGGTGTACATATTATTTCATTACCTAGGTAATAAGCTTAGTACCCAGTAGGTACTTTTTCGATACTCACCTTCTTCCACCCTCTACCCTCAAGTTGGCCCTGGTGTCTATTGTTCCCTTCTTTGTGTCCATAGGTGCTCAAATTTAGCTTCCCCTTATAAGTAAGAACATGTAATGTTTGGTTTTCTGTTCCTGTGTTGATTTGCTTAGGACAGTGGCCTCCAGTTCCATCCATGTTGCTGCAAAAGACATGATCTCTTTTTATGGCTGCATAGTATTCCATGGTGTATATGTACTGCATTTTCTTTATCAAGTCTACTGTTGATGGGCATTTAGGTTGATTCCATGTCTTTGCTATTGTGAATAGTGCTGCAATGGATATATACATGCATATGCTTCTGTAGTCGAATGATGCCTTTGGATCTTGGGCATATACCCAATAATGGGATTGCTGGGTCAGTGGTAGTAGTGAGGATTCTTACACAACTTACAGCATCTTCTCTGACTTCCCTCCTCCCCTTCTTATATCTCAGCCATCTTGTCTTCCTGTTCAGCCTGAGCAGCCCCTGATTAAACAATTTCTACTGAGTTCTCAACTTCCCAGGATAATTTGCTGTTACAGGTTAAATTATGTTCCCCCAAAAAGATACGTTGAAGTGCCGCCTGTGAATATGACCTTATTTGGAATTGGGATGTTTGCAGATGTAAACAAGATAAGGTCATTTGGGTAGGCTCTAATTCAGTATGACTGGTGTCCTTATAAAAAGAAAGAAATTAGTGTACACGTTCACACACTCATGCTAACACACACAGAAAAATGCCAGATGGAAACAACATGAAAGAGGCTCTGGGAGATGGAGGCAGAGATTGGAGTTATGCTGTCTCAAGCCAAGGAGTACCTGGGGCTACCAGAAGCTGGGGGAGGCCAGGAAGAACCCTCCCTTAGAAGCATGGCTGCATCAGCATCTTGGTTTATGATTTTTAGCCGCCAAAACAGGTTTGACAATAAATTTCAATTGTTTTAAGCCGCCCAGTTTGTTATGGCCACCTTGGGAAATGAAGGACATCCGTCAGTGCCTGCCTTACTTACAGCCAATCCTTTGGAAACTCATTAGTACCTTTCCTCTCTTCCTCCTGGCTGTTGAAATGTTGATTGATTCTACCACAAATTCTTGCTTTCTGCCTTCAAGTGGGCTCTTAGAGATGCATGGTAAACCTTTTCGTCACCCAACTTGTTTTTCCATCTTTGGTAGCAATGATTCCAAACTTTTCCTCTTAAGCCTTCATGAGTCCCCCTTCATACAATTGCAAAGAACTTGCATTTTCAACTGAGAAAACAAAAATTCTTTACCCATCTTATTCTTCACAGTTCTTTGTCGCTGTGCTTGAGTCGATGTTGACTCCTCTGGTCTCATCAGGTATGGGATGGGACCTAGGTATTCATTTTTATTTAAAAAGCCAAGAACAACAAAAACCATAAACTCTTTCCATGTTTCTTGATATACAAACAGGATTGAAAATAAACTGTCAGTTTTAAACTAAAAATCCTAAGCCTCCCATCTGACTGCATGAACCCCCTCTTGGCTAAGGGGACTCCAGAGAAACCTAAAAAACAAGTATCTGGCCATGATGGGCTGAGAAGTTAGACACGCCTCAGGTGCAATTCCTCCCTTTTGGAGTTTAGACAACAACTGCCCAGCATTAATACTAAAATAAGACAACAGGATTTGGGCTCTGTGACAATAAGATACCAAATTATAAATAAGACCTAAGGCTACGAAGACCTTAAGTCACACACTCTTACAGGTCAGTCTGATGCAGTGAATTAGCTAACAGACTTCCTGTCCTTCGGGAATGTCCTAGAAAAGGGCTGTAGTGCTGCAGTTGTCCAATTTTGGGTGGTGTCTGCAGATCATGCAGACCCGTCTGAGGAGCTGAGGAGCAAGGAAACCAGTCTGAGGCCCAAAGCTGAAGAACTTGGAGTCTGATGTTCAAGGGCTGGAAGCATTTAGCATGGGAGAAGATGTAGGCTGGGAGGCTAAGCCACTCTAGCCTTTTCACATTTTCCTGCCTGCTTTATATCCTGGCTGTGCTGACAGCTGATTGGATAGTGCCCACTTAGATTAAGGGTGGGTCTGCTTTTCCCAGCCCACTGACTCAAATGCTAATCTCCTTTGGCCACACCCTCACAGACACACCCAGGATCAGTACTTTGCATCCTTCAATCCAATCAAGTTGACACTCAGTATTAACCATCACAATACCCATAGTATATGCACATTTCTAGAATTATTTCTGTATCTACCCATCTATATCTTCAGCTAAGCATGAATTAATACTGATATCTCCAACTCCAATCCGGTTCCATGAGATTCATTCTAGTCTTCCCTCCTTTCTTATCATCTGTAATTGTCTTCTTTGATAGAAACCTGGCTCTCCCCAGCCACCATCCATTTATTTATAACCCCGTCATACACACAGAGGAGATTCAGAATCGTTAACCTGTCTTCTCATGAGAAATCTATCAACTGGAGTATAGTGTTTGTGTACAATTCCTTCTGTTTTTAACCTTATGTTTTCCTATCAAAACAGCATTTTCCAAAGTCATTTCATTCGACTCCTCCCCTACCACTTCATCATCTTCAGTGAGGTTGTGTAATCGATTCGTAATATAGTTAGATTCTTCCTCAAGTCTGTATTTCATCCTGGAATTCTGTCAACATCCTGTTTAATTTTTAAAATTTTGTATATATTAAAGTTCACTCTTTATTGATGTATGGTTCTATGGGTTTTGACGAACGTATGAGTTATGTATTTATTACTCCAGTACCAAATAGAACAGTTTCGTTATCCTGTCATTACCTTGTGTGTCCCCTTTGTAGTCATCCACCTGCCCTCCCACCAGGTGGATGACTCCCAGTGTATTCTGCGTATATTGATATAATCATATGGTTTTTGTTTTTAGTTCTGTTTCTGTAATTACACCTACTGATTTGCATATGTTGAATAAACCTTGCATCCCAGGGATAAACCCTACTTGATAGTAGTGGATTACCTTTTTGCTGTGCTGCTGGATTAGGTTTGCTAGCATTTTGTTGAGAATTTTTCCATCTCTGTTTTTTAAGGATATTAACCTGAAGTTTTCCATTTTTGTTGTGTCTCTGACATGTTTTTGTATTAGGATGATCCTGATCTCACAGAATGAGGTAGGGAGGAATTCCTCCCCTTCAGTTTTTTGGATAGTTTCAGCAGAAATGACACCAGCTCTTCTTTATACACCCAGTGGAATTCAGCTGTGAATCCCTCTGATACTGGGCTTTATCTGGTTGATAGGCTTTTTACTACTGATTCAATATTGGAACTTGTTATTGGTCTGTTCAATCATGGGAAAGTGTTTCCAGGAATTTAGCCACTTTTAGTAGGTTTTCCAGCCTGTGTGCACAGAGGTGTTCGTTATACTGTCTGAGGGTTTTTAAAAAAATATATTTCTGTTGGGTCAGTGGTAATGTCCCCTTGTCATTTATGATTGTGTTTATTTGGATCTTCTCTCTTTTTTTCTTTATTAGTCTATGTAGTGGTCTATCAATTTTTTTTTTTTTTTTTGAGACAGAGTTTCGCTCTTGTTACCCAGGCTGGAGTGCAATGGCGTGATCTCGGCTCACCGCAACTTCCGCCTCCTGGGTTCAGGCAATTCTCCTGCCTCAGCCTCCTGAGTAGCTGGGATTACAGGCATGCGCCACCATGCCCAGCTAGTTTTTTTTTGTGTGTGTGTATTTTTTAGTAGAGATGGGGTTTCACCTTGTTGACCAGGATGGTCTCCATCTCTTGACCTCGTGATCCACCCGCCTCAGCCTCCCAAAGTTCTGGGATTACAGGCGTGAGCCACCACGCCCAGCCTATCAGCCTTATTCTTTCAAATATAAATTTCTGGTTTCATTGATATTTTGTATGGTTTTTCGCATTTGAATTTCATTTAGTTTAGTGCTGATTTTAATTATTTCTTGTCTCTTGCTGGCTTTAACTGGTTTGCTCTTGTTTTTCTAGTTCCTCAAGGTGCGATATTAGGTTGTTAATTTGAGATTCTAGCTTTCTAATGTGGGCATTTAGTGCTATAAACTTTCCACTTAACACTGTTTTGGCCATGTCCCAGAGATTTTGGTATATTATATCTTTGTTCTCACTAGTTTCAAATAATTTCTTGATTTCTGCCTTAATTTCATTATTTACCCAGAAGTCATTCAGTAGCAGGTTGTTTAATTTCCATGTAATTTTATAGTTTTGAGTGCTGTTATTATTTTATTTTATTTTTATTGTCTTATGATCTGAGAGTGTGGTTGGTAGGATTTTGTTTTGTTTTCTTTTTAAATTTGTGGAGGATTGTTTTATGGCCGACTGGTCGATTTTAGAGTATGGGCCACTGAAGATGATAAGAATGTGTATTATGTTGTTTTGGAGTAGAGAAAACACAAATAAATGAAAAGACATTTTATGTTAATGAATTAGAAGAATAATATTGTTAAAATGTTCATATTGCCCAAAGCAAACTACAGCTTTAATGCACTCTGTATCAAAACTGGAAATTGTGAGGAAAGCAGCTGAAGAGAGGAACAGAAACATGGGGCAGATGGTGAAAAATTTACACCCTGGAAGAGAAATATGGACACTAATAAGGAGAGAGATAGAGAAGTATACAGATACTTAAATAAAAGGGAAGTGTGTGGAGATCCCTAATGGGCTGGAGTGATCAGGAAGAGCATGGAGAAGTTGAGCTTTTAGTCCACCAGAAAGTAAGTATGAAATGCTAGTGTGAAGTGACAGCCAGAAAGATGACACTGTTGGCTGCATTAGAAGAGAGGGAGTAATATATGTGACCTCTTTCTTACTGATCAAATACTTGGGAGAATGTATTCAGTTCT